GAGATGTGGCAAAGAGGCGTGGGTGGTGGTGGTGGGGCTCTTGTCACCTCCCTAAAAGCTCTGCAGGTACGGGGGGCACGGGGGAAGAGGCCCTCTGCGGAAGGGACACGCAGGAGGACTCACCCGTAGCCTGCCCCTGCATCTCCTGCGTCCTCACGCTCTCACGGTCGCAGAACTGCTCCTCCTGCCCGGAGCCCATCTGCAAGTCAGTGTTAAACCTGGTTTCTAATAAATGTTTAGAAATATCTCAAGGATGGGTGTCAGGAGGATGGGGCCAGACTCTTTTCAGTGGTGCCCAGCGACAGGACAAGGGGCAATGGGCACAAACTGAAGCACAGGAAGTTCCGTCTGAACGTGAGGAAGAACTTCTTCCCTCTGAGGGTGACGGAGCACTGGAACAGGCTGCCCAGGGAGGTTGTGGAGTCTCCTTCTCTGGAGATATTCACCTGGATGAGGTCCTGTGCAGCCTGCTGTAGGAGACCCTGCTTTGGCAGGGGGTTTGGACTAGATGACCCACAGAGGTCCCTTCCAACCCCGAACATTCTGTGATTCTGTGATTCTGCGATTCATGGGGATGAGCTCTAGTCCCTGAGTTTTCCTCAGCAAAATGCCTGCCTCCGTAGCAGTGTAGTCCAAGAAGTACTGTGTACTGGCCAAAGCCTGCAGCTTGTCCACAGGCGTGTCGAAGCTGGCTCTGTGCTTCTTGGCTGTGACATTTCCTAAGCAGCCCAGTGGAAGCACTGCCATGGCCTCAGCTGCACAGGAACTAGCCACAAGGCGATGTTATTCATTAACCTGTTTGCAATGGAATTTTGCATATTTACAGCACCTAGGAAATCAAAGAAAAGACAACTTAAATGGTTCTCCACTTCCAGAGTTGGTAGCTTGGGAGAATCCATCACGAACATGACCACAACACATAGTTTTATATTATAATACTGAAAAGTACTGAATCAGAAATTATTTAGCAAGAAAACAAAGCACATGCTTGAAAACATAACTCCATTCCAACACAACACACCCTTTAGGTAGTTCTGCTTAGCTCTACACATCTGCTTCAGCCTCATGCAGCCAGGGAGCGAGATGAAGGGTGAAGGCTAAACAAGTACTTAACTGCCCTGCCGAACAAGGCT